AAAAAATTCCTCATTTCTGAAGGACAGCTTTGCAAAGTATTCAAAGTATTCATGTTGGCACTTTGCATATATCATCCTACTCTCCCCCAGCCTGCAAGATTTCTTTCTTTCTTTTTTTTTTTTAAGCTTAACCAACTGAGCCACCCAAGTGCCCCTGCAAGGTTTCTGTTGAGAAATCCTATCATAGTCTGCTGGGTGTTCCCTTGTATGAGTGGAGTTTCTTTTCTTTTGTTGCTTTCAAAATTCTCTTTGTCTTTGATTTTTGACAGTTTTATTATCATGTGTTTCAGTGAATTCCTCTTTGGGTTTCATCTGTATGGGGACCTATGAACTTCAGATACCTGGATGTCTTATCTCTGACCAGATTTGGGAAGTTTTTAGCCCTTATTTCTTTAAATTAGCTTTTTTGTCCCCTTTTCTCTCTCTTCTGCTTCTGGGACTCCTGGATTCTGAATATTGTTTCTTCTGGTGGTGTCCCATAATTCATGTAGGTGTTCACAAATTTTTTTCATTCTTTTTTTCTTTTTTCTCAGCTGACTAGATAATCTTAAATGCCTTGTCTTTGATTCACAGATCTTTCTTTTGTTTAATCAAGTCTCTTGTTGATGCTTACCATTGCATTTTCATTTCATTCATTACATTCTTCATCTCCAGAATTTCTGCTTGGTTCTTTTTTTTATGATTTCAATATTTCTGTTGGCTCTCTTTTTTTGTTCATGTATTTTTTTCCTGATTTCATTAAGTTGTCTGTTTTTTCTTATAGTTTGGTGAGCTTCCTTAAAACAATTATTTTGAAAATTCTTTTTTTGGTCAGAGAATTCATAGATTTCCATTTCTTTGTGGTCAGTTACAGGAAAATAATTATGTTCCTTTGGTAATGTAATGTTTCCTTGCTTTTTTGTGATTCTTGAAGTCTTGCATTGCTGTCTTCTCATTTGAAGAAGCAGTTACCTCCTCTAGTTTTTACTGACTGGCTTCAGGAAATAGATACCTATATTGGTCACAGTCCAGCTAGGAACTCTGAACGTATTTTCTCAGATGTCTTCTATGAATGTGCCCACTCCATACATGTTCCCTCTTGGGGGAATTTTTAAGATTCTTTGTCCTCTCTTGATCCTGCAAAACTGTATTGGGTGCTGAGAGTCTCCTATTTGTTTTCCTTAGAGTGGCAGCCTGAAATGCTCAAGTTTGTGAGCATTCTCCCAATCTCAAAGAGTCAGGCTGGCTTTCTGCACTTAGTAGTTTTCAAAGGCTGTTTTTTGCTGTCTGAGGAAGCATGTGCTGGGAGCTGGTCCTGGGGGGTGGGATGGTGAGAGGTATGGGTGAGATGGGGTTATCTATGGGTCAGCTGTGGGGGTCTACAGGCAAGATGTTCCCAGTGGCTTGGGGGTAGGATTCCTGATGGAGTTCACAAGTCAGTTAATAGGAAAAAGTGGTTAATGACATCCCTTTAATGAGTTTGGAGCCCTGGCTGCTGTGTTCCCAGCCTCTGCCAACCCTTGGTCTTGCTGATCACTTCAGTAGTTTAAGTGAGAAGAGAAAAAAGTGTGCCTCTTGAGCAACATCCTGCATGGCTAGGGAAGCTGGGCATTCACTCACATGTTCCCACTTTCCCCCAGGGGAAATTATGGTTGGTAATAATGTCTGCACTCATTCTTGATTTTAGTAATTTGAGTCTTTCTTTTGGTCTAACTAAAGCTTTATTGATTTGTTTATCTTTTTGAAGAACCAACTGTAGATTTTGTTGATTTTCTTTATTATTTTTTATTTATTTCATTAATTTTGGTCCTAATGATTTTCTCCCTTGTGCTTGTTTTGGATTTAATTTATTCTTCTTTTTCCAGTATCTTAAGTAGAATGTTAGATCACTGTTTGAGCTATTTCTTTTTTTTCTTTTTTAACACAGGCATTTACAGCTATAAATTTCTAAGAATTGCTGTAGCTGCACTTGTTAACTGTCAGTAGGTTGTATCTTTATTTTTATTCATCCTAAAGTAATTTCTAATTTTTTCTTTTGACTTCTTCATTGGCCCATTGGTTTTTTTAGTTATGTTGTGTCTAACTTCTTCATTATTTGTGAATATCCCAAATTTCTTTTGTTATTAATCTCTAATTTCTGTCCATTGTGATCAGAGAAATACTTTCTACATTTTCAAACCTTTTAAATTTATTGAGGCTTGTTTTATAGCCTAGCATGTGGTTTATCCTGGAGAATGTTCCATATACTCAGACAAAGGTGTATTCTGCTGTTGTTGCATAGAGTATTCTATATATGTCTGTTAGGTCTATTTTGCATATACTATTCAAGTTTTCTATTTCTTTTGTTGATATTTTACTCAGATGTTCCATTCATTATTGAAAGGGGGTATTGAATTCTTCAATTATTATTGTCAGGTTTTCTATTTTTCCTTTCAATTTGTTTTTGCTTCATTTATTTTAGGGCTCCCCTGTCAGGTGCATATATGTTTATAATTATAATGTCCTGGTAGATTGACCCTTTCATCATTACAGAACATCCTTTTTATATCTTGTAACATTTCTCATTTTAGTCTACTGTGTTTAATATTATTATATATTATATTATATTATATTATATTATATTATATTATATTAGCCTGTGGTTGCTGTTTATATGATATACCTTTTTCCATTCTTTTACTTTCAATCTATTTGTATCTTTGAATATAAAGTGCTTCTTCTGTGGACACCATATAGCTGGATCATGTTTTCTTATCCAGTATGACAATTCTGCCTTTTGACCAAATTATTTAACCCATTCATATTTAATGTTATAATTGATATAATTGCATTTGTGCCTGCTATTTTAGTTTTTAAATTTTTACTTTCTATTGTCTCATGCCTTTTTTGTTTCTATTCCCCCTACTGCCCTCTTCTGCATTAAATAAATTTTTTTGAGTTATACTTTAATTACTGTAATTATTTTTTCATGATTTTAAAAGTACTTTTGTCAATTATTTTGTCAATAATTGCTCTAGGGATTACTATATACATCTCATCAGAATCTACTTTAGGTTTATACAAACTTAATTACAGTGCAATACAGAAACATTATTTCTGTTCAACTCTATTCTCTCTTTTGGACTATTATTGTTATGCATTTATTATATATATATTTTATATATATATATATATATAACTAATCTACCAATATATTGTTATAATTATTACTTTGTATAATTTTATGTCTATTAAGCTGAGTAAAGAGAAGAAAACAAGCTTTATTTACAGAGTTTGTTATATTAACCTTATTATTTACTCTTTTTGGTTCTCTACATATGTTCCATGGATTCAAGTTACCAAAAAGTGTCATTTCCTTAGTCCAACAAGACTTTGCTAACACCAAACTTCTTTGTACTATTGTTGGCAAATATGTTATATTTCTATATGTTCTGGTCCAATCATACAATTATATATATAGTATTTTATACAATTGTGTTTTAAATCAGTTAAGAGAAGAAATAAGAGGCATACATTTATAGTACCTTTTATAATTAAAATGAATTATTTTCTTTACTTAATAAAGTTTTAAATTAACTAAATGTTATGGGGGCTTGCGTTCCTCCACCCCCATCAAAGTCACATGTTGAAGCCCTAACTCTCAATGTGATAGTATTAGGAGTTAAGCCATTTGAGAGGTAATTAGTTTAGATGAGGTCATGAGGGTGGATCTCCCATGATGATATTAGTGTCCTTAAAAGAAGAAGGGCTTCCTCTCTGCCTGTACACAAAGAGGCCATGTGGACATACAGAGATGGTTGCTACCTACAAGCCAATATAAGAGGCCTCAGTGTGTAACCCACACTGGCAATACCTTGATCTTAGACTTCCCAGTCTGTGAGAAATAAATTTATATTTTTTAAGTCACCTAATCTGTGATATTTTGTTATGGCAGTCTGAGCTGACTAAGACATTAAATTAACAAATTCAAGCAGGGGTAGTTTTTGAGGTCAGTCTCTGAAATGTGTTTTGACCTTAGAAGGTTTCTTAGCTCTCTCTTTCACTGACTCTCTTTAATGAACTAGCTGGTCTATGATTCTGTTTGTTGTTCTTTTTTTTTTTCTTTAAGATTTTTTATTTATTTATTTGAGACAGAGAGAATGAGAGACAGAGAGCATGAGAGGGAGGAGGGTCAGAGAGAGAAGCAGACTCCCTGCCGAGCAGGGAGCCCGATGCGGGACTCGATCCCGGGACTCCAGGATCATGACCTGAGCCGAAGGCAGTTGCTTAACCAACTGAGCCACCCAGGCGCCCTGTTTGTTGTTCTTAATTAAGAGGAATTATTGTTTTTGAGTGCCCTTAATTTAAAAAATTAAGTGCTAATTTCTTCAATACATACAAATCAATTAGAAAAAGAAAAAAATCCACTGGAACAAAATGGACAAAAGATATGAACATATGGATTTAAAAAGGAAGTATTTGTGGGTTTTAAACATATAAAGAAATTGTCAACCTCACTTATAATTAAACAAAAAGACAAATTAGAGCTATACAAAGATTACATTTTCATATGCGAGGTTGGCAAGGATGAAAAATTGGTAACACAGTCCCAACACTGTTGGTGAGAATATAAATTGTTACAATAATCTCTGAACAGTGCTTTGACAATACCTATCAAAATCACAAAAGCCCATATCCTTAAACCACTTCCAAGGATTTACCCTAGAGATATACTGGTAAATGTAAAAGATGACGTATATACTCATTAGTCATTGCTGCACTGTTTGTAATAGCAAAGAGCAGAAAACCTTCTAATATCGGGTTGTTTAAATAAATTAAGTCACATCAGTTTGTGGTAGATTGCACAATAGCCCCATTTCATTAGATTTTCCTCTATATACGCCCTTTACTGTGTCATTTTGTAGTGCTCTTCCACTGTGGATGGGGTGTAATTCCCTGCTCTGGGCCCTTAGCACATGATTTGTTTTGGCTGATAGCATATTGACAGATGTGATGCCAACAATATTTTGAAAAGGACTTACCTGGATTAGGCTTGCCTTCTCTTGTGCTTCTACAGTTGTCAAGAGAAGAACATGCTAAGGCTGTTCCACTCATCTTGGGACACCAGTCAATCTCTAGAAGCACAAGCAAGCCCAGATTAGTAGAGTTTACCAACCAGGTCCAACTCAGATTATCCGATCCTGCAGGTGCATACGCTATACATGTAAAGAATTGTTTCAAGCCACTGAGTTTTGAGATGGTTTATTACACAGCAATAGATAGATAATACACTGTGCAATGGATACCATCTAACCATAAAAGAGTTCTTTATTATAGTAATAGGAATAGTCTCTGACATTTATAGTTCAGTTAAATTAAGTGCAGAACAATGTGAAGTATTCAATCATTTGTGAAAGTAAATTTGCACACATGTGCATAAGATATGACTAGAAGGATACACAAGAAAAGCTGATAAAAGTTTGTTGCCTGTGGATAGGTTATCCAGATAGCTGAGGGACAGGAGGAGTGGAAAGAGACTTTCTCTTGTATACCTTTTTGTTACTTTTTTTCAACTGTTTAAATGAATTATGTATGTTAAAAATAAATAAATTTTTTTTTAAAAATCAGGATTTTCCTGGTGCTCCAAATTCTTCTAACAACTAATAGAGCAGAAAAAAATTCTGAAATCATTAGATTTTTCTTCCTTTAAAAATGCCATTTTTTTACTTAAGTGATTGTGGGATTCTTTACTTTTCCCTTAAATTGGGAGTTTCAGCAGTATTTGTCTAGCTGCACAGCTCTAGTTTATTATTCTTTCTTGATAGCTAGAATATATATGTAAAGAACTCTTAATTAAAACTCAATCCCATAGGGCTCCTGGGTGGCTCAGTCAGTTAAGCGTTGGACTCTTGATTTCGGCTCAGGTCATGATCTCAGTGTCATGGGATGAAGCACTGCATCCAGCTCCATGCTGAGTGTGAAGTCTGCTTGAGATTCTCTCTCCCTATCTCTCTGTGCCTCCGAACACACACTCACTCACTCTGTTTCTGTCTCTCTCTCTTTCTCAAATAAATAAATAAATCTTAAAAAAAAAAATCTCGTGAAAACAAACAGCCAAATTTAGAAAATGGGCAAATGAACTGATCAGACACTTCATGAAAGAAGATACAGAGGTGGTAAACAAGAACATTAAAAGGTGCTTAAGATCACTGACCGATGAAAAGCAAAATGAGATACTACTACACACCTTTTAGAATATCTAAAATTAAGAAGTCTAACCATGTCAAGTGTTAGAAAGATGTGGACTAACTGGAAATCTTCACTGCTGGTGGTAATGTAAAATAGTATAACCACTTTGGAAACCAGTTTGGCAATTCCTGAAAAAGTTAAAAATGAATCTACAATATGACTTAACCATTCCACCTCCAGTAATTTACCCAAGAGAAACAAAAGCATGTGTCCACACAAAGACTTGAACATGATTTTTTTATCAGAGCTTTATATGTGATAGCCCCAAACTGGAAACAGACCAAATATTCATCAACAGGTAAAGGAATAAACAAAATATCCTATATCCATACTATGAAATACTACTCAGTTAAAAAAAGGGGGGGAATGAATTATTGATACTCATAATAACATGGATGAATCTCAAATTTAGTATGCAAGTGAAAGAAGCCAGATAAAAGAGAGCACATACTCTATGATTCCATTTATATAAAACTCCAGAAAATTCAAACTAATCTATAGTGACAGAAATGAAATCAATGGTTGCATGAGGATGGGTTTGGGTGGAGGTAATGTGAGATGGACGGATTAGTAAAGGTCATGAGGAAACTTTTGAGGGTGATAAATATGTTCATTTTCCTTATTCAAGGGTGTATACATAAGTCAAAACTTACCAAGTTATGCACTTTAATTATATGCAAAAGAAAATTGAAAAAGAAACCAAATGTTAGGATTTATAAAGCTGAGCAGTAACTATACATGTTTTTGTTACACTATGTGTTTTCTATATTTAATAACAAAATATTTACATTCAATTAAAAAAGAAAACTAGATTTCCCATACTTCTGATAATTGATTTAATAAACTAGTGGAAATAGTAAGTTTTCATGAAAACAGGGCCCTTGCCTGTTTTATTCACCATTGCATTCTCAGTTCTCAGTACAGTGCCTAGAAACACTCATCATATACTTCAAAATTATCTAATAAATTATGACTAAATTCAGCTTATTCATAACTACTGGTTATTTTCTTATTTTAAAGAAGTTTTCAGTTCCTTATGGTAAAGCTTGGAAATCATGGAACAATTTTAGAGTGATTGCCCATACTGTGGTGTGTAGTTGATGAGATTATCAGAAAACTCTATCATCTATCTATCATCTATCTCCTATATATGTTTGCATTCAGGCAGCTTGTACCAACAAAGTCCTATTGGTTGCTTACAGGTGCCACCCCGTCTGATTATTGAACACTTATTAGTCCATGTTTTCATGCACCATACTGATTGTAAACTATTTTGGATATCATCCCTTCACAAATGTCATCACATAAATTTTCTTGGGTTCAAGTACTTCTTGATGCTAAACAACCCTCCAAAAAGTTTTTGCTCAAGTTCAGTACAGGCATCCTTTGGCATGTACTCTGCACCCAAATCCTTTTTTCTACCATCATCTACACTGCTCAGACCATATGATTTGACACTGGTTTGATTTTGTCTCCCTAGTTAAACTCTTAACTTCCTTTTTTTTTTTTTTTTTCCACTGCCAAGGTGATGTGATAAATCTCTATTCCAAAATACACAATATATTTAGTCCTCTCTTCTTGGGCTTTTATATGGGGATCTAAACTAAATCTGATACGTATTCACTTACTGGCTTCAAATATTTCAAGCAGTTCTAGAAGGCAACTTATTAACCTATGTACTTTAGCTCACTGAATAAGACTTATAAAATACATTAGAGAAGCGTGGATCATGTATCCAGCTTTGGCCCAAGTCTGTCTGCTGAACCTCTGCCATGGACATGCAATAGATTGTCTGTCAATCTGCCAGGATTTGAAATTTTTTAAAGGAGAATTTCTGGCTTTGGAGGTGGCTCTGTTTGGAAGACAAAGTAAGTACCACAAAAAAGGCACATTAATAAACATTTATTGAACTGTATTAAATTTAATTGAAATTAATTGAATTCGGATGATGGCTACAATTGCAACTGCTCCCATTTCTTGACTGAATTCCAGTTTTGGTTTAGAACCCAGTTTGGGCAAGGACTAGAGAAATGGAAAAACTTCAGTGTCACCTTCAAAGTTGAATTACTGTACATTAGAAAAAGTATTAGGTAATATCGCTGATTTAAATATCATAATTTCCTTTGAAAAAAATAATTTCAACCAAATAAGGTAGATTTTTCTTTAAACAAAGTTCACTATTTTATCCTTTACTCTAGGTATTTTTCAGCTTCTTACAGCCAAATTTGACTCTTCATTCTAGAATTATTAGAATTTCTCCTGGACATCACTGAAAATATAGAAATTTAACGTTATAATATTTAGAATGATAAATGTCTGTATTCTCACCTCCATACTGAATAAGTCACCACAACTTATAGTGTCTAGCTCTTAAATATTTGTATATGATGTTTTGAACCCTTTTAAAACCGTTTCCTTTTTAAAACAAATATTTTATGAAGCCCCCTTTACATAAAATTTACCTTCACACATACATTTTAAGTATATACTATATTAACTATAATATAAAAGAGAAATAAAAGGAGAATAATTAAACATTAAATAATATTAATGACCTATAAATGTTTGGGCATAACTATATTAGAAGACCTAATGCGGTGGTAATATACTTCCACCTATTTATAGTCTAGTATTTAAGAGAAAGTAGACCAATATTCAAATAAACAGTGAAAATAATTTTTCTTTCTATTAGACATTTTGAAGTAAGATTCACTGTGGATGCAGTAACTACAAATGCAAACTGATACAGTTGGGTTGTATTGGTGACTCAAATAGCATGAGTGGCCGAGCTGTCAGAAATAATTTTGTGAAGTTCCAAACAAAGCAATATATATTCTTCCTTCAATGAACATGGCAGCTGCATTCCTGGAAAATTCAGTGTATATTAAAATCATACTATAAGTATTTGCAGTTTCAATGTAAAATGGAGTTGTTTCTAGGCTGAGATGATTGTAATCTGGTTTTTCATCTACAAGAATGTCTAGATGGGTATTTGAATGTCATGTGGGAAGCAGAAAAACTTTTCATTGCATATTACTATCCCTCTAATTACAGGATGTCTAATATCCCTGGCCTCTACACACTAAATGTCAATCACAGGGACAGCCAGAAAATGCCTCCACAGATATCCAAAATGTTCACCAGAGATAGTGTCACCCTGTTGAGAACCACTGGTCTATGTAATCTGTTCCTGCCTTGCCAATCTTTTACCACTACTTAGTCGGGTTTTGCAACAACTAGCACTTGGATCTCCCAAATTCTCTCCCTGTCCTCAGTCTTCTCTGCCCATATTTCATCCTTCAAACAGAAAGCAAAAGTGATCTTCCTAAAATGCACATCTGGTCCTGTCATTTCCCAGCTGAATATGGTCAGAGGCTCCCCGGCACTATAGAATGAAGTCAAACTTTTTAGAATGGAGGGAAGAAATCTGATCCCACTATATTTCAAATCTGACCTTGTACTACTCCCTCCAATGTGCTGTACTCTTCCCCTTGTATTCTCTAGAACTGAACAAGGTCTCGGAGTCTTTCCACCAATTCACCCATAGCTGGTCTGATGAGTTCTTACTAAGAATTCAAAACGTTATTCAAGCATGGCTTCCCCAGTGAAGCCTTCTCCAGACAATCTCCTCACTGTGCCCCTGACCCTGGTGCTTGCCATGTTTTGTAACTGTTAGATAGTCTGCCTCCACCACTAGACCGTGAGTTTAGTCTGACAGTAGGGATTTTTATGCTATCTATCTTTGTACCCCCAAAACATCAACTGGGTGGAGGCCATATGGTAAGCTTTGAAAAAGTGAAACACTTTTAAAGTTGAATGATCCTATAATGTTAGCTCTTTGGAGTTCTACAGATTACCATGTAATTTATTTCTCTTTCAATATTTTCCCTTGAAGAATCACATATTTCCAACCAGTTTAAACTCTCCATCTATTACAGCCTTTTATCTTGTTCTTTCTTTAGTATTTATTTAAACTCCAATAAATTTGGAAACATCTTTGTTATATTTTCCTTTTACTAGCTCAAACCCCACTGTACTGACTCACGAAAAAAAATGTCCCCTTTTGACCCAATCCTAGTTGATATTTTACTTGATTTATTTAGCTTTACTTAATTAATTTAGCTTTACTTATTTACTTAATTTACCTTCTTTATATATCTTAGACAAGAAGCCCACTTCTTTCTAAGGTGATTTGAAATCAGCTCATGAAAAGAGTTTTATTTTCATTAACAATTAAAAAAATTTTTTTTGTCTTTGAGTGGATATATATAACCTCATGTTGACTGTTTGGTTTTAAGTGTTGGTTCATGGTTTGATGATATATGTGCTTGATGTTATTCACCAATACTTGATTTTGCTTTAGGTATTTTTCAGATTTGAGAGGATTTACCTTTATCAATTATTTTGCTAATTTAAGGCAGAGACCAAAATGAAGTAGTCTTAAATAATGTTTGTCCATGCTGGACTACTTGGCTTCCCTCTGCCTCATGAAGGTGGCCATAATCAGTCGTCTTTTTTTTTTTTTTTTTTTAACTACATGTTATTCCTTGCCTTCCTAGGACTTAACAGCAATATTTCAACAACTTACTAATGACTTTCGTTTGGGTCATGAGAAGAAAAGTGGATCCTGTAGAAACAATCTAAATAAATGATAGTACCGAAACATTTTCGTGGAGGCTACAAAGTGACCTATTGAAATACACTAAATTGGTTCTTCTCCATTAGGACATTCAGATCCTCCTTTTATTTCATTTTGGAATGAAAGAATAAATGGGGACCAAATGTGCTCTGAAATCCTCTGTCCTGCTCTAGAGCATGGAAATAGCAACTCACACAAAAATTTTTCAAGCTGTCAGGAGTAAGGCAAGTTTTGGCTAAGATCAAGTGTAAGATCATTAAATGCTTAAAACAATCAAAATAGAATGGATTCTAGTAAGCTTTTCTCACTCAAAGGAAACTTCTTTAAAAAGTAGTTACTGGGGCGCCTGGGTGGCTCAGTTGGTTAAGGACTGCCTTCGGCTCAGGTCATGATCCTGGAGTCCCAGGATCGAGTCCGAGGATCAAGTCCCAGGATCGAGTCCCACATCGAGTCCCACATCGGGCTCCCTGCTCAGCTGGGGGTCTGCTTCTCCCTTTGAGACCCTCTTCCCTCTCGTGCTCTCTGTCTCTCATTCTCTCTCTCAAATAAATAAATAAAATCTTTAAAAAAATTTTAAAAATAATAAATAAATAAATAAATAAATAAAAAGTAGTTACTGATCTAAATGTCTTTCAATGAGGCAATTAAAAAAATGTGGTATAATAATTCAAAGCATGGAATATTTTGTGGTCTTTAAAAAAGAAGACAGCAAACCTATAGTTATGGACATAGAATGATATGTGGTTGTCCTAAAATAAGAAAAATTATGAATAATGCATATACTATGATCCCATTCATATAAAAATGGCAGAAACAGAAGTAAAATATGTACGAGAGAGAAGATTGGAAAGATACACACATGTCAAATTGCAGTCAATGCTGTACATTGAAAGCTTTAGTTTCTGTGTCTATTTCTTCCACCAGGTTATGAGTTCCTTGGTTGCCAGATCAAATAAGGGGATGCCCAGTTAAATTAGAATTTCAAGTAAACAATGGATTTTTTCTTTTTAGTATGAGTACACCCCAAATATTACACAGGACATACATATACTAAAAAATTTTTCATTATTTATCTGAAATTCAAATTTAACTGGATGCTCTGTATTTTTTTTATTTGCGAATTCTGGCAATTCTACTTTAAGGAGACTATAAACTCTTCATCTTTGTACTCCTATCATTAGCATACTTAAAGATATACAGTGGTTGCATAATAAATCCTGAGAGGGAGAGTAGTTCAGGAGAGCACAATAATAACAGGCAATTTTGCTAAGTGTGTTACATATATTATCTCAATTCCAATGGAAATGCCTTAAAGTTTTATTAGGTGGCCCTATTTTACAGAATAAGAAAGAGAGGTATATAGAAGTCACACAGTAAATGAGGGAGCTAGAAATGACCCCAAGTTTTTGGGTCCTGATTCAGCAGCCATAACCAGCTGCCAGTTGCCAAGAGGAAAGGGGGAAAGAGAACCAGGGGTGAGGCTTTGGTTCTGCACAAGTGCAGTTGAGCGGGACTGCACAAACTCCTGAACCTTGCTAGAGGTGGAAGGTGGGCTATGTCGGAGGCACAGACAAATCTGGGCCTGGTCCCCATATCCACCACTCATTCAAACAAGTTACATAATTTCTTTTGACCTCAATTTTCTTGTCTGTACAACTGGATTCAGAGGACCTACCTGAATACTGGCACAATGAGTACAGGAGGTAATTTCTGTAAAGCGATCAGCACGGGGCTTAGCCGGCGAAAGAACACTCAGTCAATGCTAGTTATTATTGGCCCACAACTCCAGTTTTTTCATTTGTAAAACAGAATAACATCAATAACAAGACAGTAGTGCTAATGATAGGGATATTGCCAAGTTGATTTGAGGATCAGATGAGAAATACATATTATCTTTATAAATTCTAAAGTGCTTCTTATTCTCCTTGAGTACTTGTTCTTTAGATCAGAACCAGAATTAATACCATGCCAAAGCATTACTACAATTTTTCCCCTGAGTAATTAATTTTGTTTTAAAAACTATCATACAGTAAAATCAACTCTTTGGTGTATAAAGTTTCATGAATTTTAACCCATATAGATTTATGTAACCACTACCCCAGTACAGATACAGAACATGACTATAGCTTTTGAGATTTTTTTCCAAAGTGTTTCATATTCTTGTTGCAAAACACTTTTAAAAATTAAAAAAAAAAAACTTAGAAGATAACCATGAAGATACAAATTAACAAAACTGGCTTTTTGTGCAAATCTCGGCAGTCTCCAGTCCCTCTAGGTCTTGTCTGGGCCATTTTTGCTGTTGACTGTGGAGATTATCTCTTTCCACAAAAGTCATCAGGCATCGGCTTGAGAGTTGGGGCATTCTTTCAAGCTAAAGGCCCATGTCACAGGCACAAACTTCAGCATTCCTCATTTGGTCCTTTTTTATATTACCTTCCAGAACTTAATTTCCCCAACTATTTCCTCTATTTGCCATTTTCTCTCACAAATGAAGAGAATTTTCAAATGAAGACCTGGAATACCAGCACCTTTTCACCCTTTCAGGAAAATTATTGGGGATACAGAGTTATTGAGAGAGCAACGGTGGAGCTTTCAGGACCCAAAACCTCTGATATAACAGCTCCTCCAGGTAAGTAATCTATCCCTTTCCCCACTCCATCCTCTCCACCTACCCAACCTACCCGGCACCCCCTGGGAGGATAGACTTCTGGACCAAACTTCCGTCCTCCAAGAGCGGCCACCTCCCATCCGCCACCCGACCTCGTAGGCTTTCCCAGTTTAAGTAACTTGCGCTGACACACCGTTGTCACATCCGCTTTTCTGGGTGACTCAAGTCATTGCTATTTGCCTTTTCTTTCTAGATGCTTTGGCTGCTGTGTTCTTTCTTCCCTCTGCTTTTTTTTTTATTTTTATTTTTTTATTCTTCCCTCTGCTTTTAACTTGGGGAGGAGAAAAGCTAATGAATCAAGAATGAATCTCCTCTCCAGTAATCCTTTTATCCCTCCTTAAAGTTGGCTCTCTCGGTTCTCAAGTTCCGTAACTATCCAAGAAGTGCGGGGGCGGGACAGGTGGGGACGCATAATTACACCGAGACCTCAAGTTGGCATGTAAGGAATCACTTTGGTGGGAAGACTTTCCGGAGCTCCCCTGCAGCTTGCTGAGCGTTTCTGCCGCTGCCGCTCTACATTTTCTGCTCATTTCTTGATGCTGGTGCTTCGCGTTGCTCTGTCACTCCTAAATCTATTTTGTTACGGCCCTAGGTGCCCAAATCAGGGTAAATTCCACGAGATTCACCAGCGGTTTTCCTGTCCAAGGTAAACACAGTAGGCAAAATGAGGACCCACCAAAGGATACAGGGGAGCGGGGGGGAGAGAAAGGAATTCCCTCACCTTTTCCGGCACACTCCTTGTTAATTTCCACCAGGAGGAGGCGCGCGGCCCAGATCCCCTCAGCCTTCTTTTTTAAATCCCCCTACCGAGGGCTGCCAAGGTTGGCGGCGCGGCGGGAGACATCTCTCGGGCAGACCTGGCTCTCCCCCGCCCCCCGGGTTGGTTTTTCCCAGCGGCGGAGGCTGGGCCAGCGGCTGGGGTGCGAGGAGAGTCGGCGCCCGCAGCGCGGAGCCGAGAAGTCGCCGAGACTCTGGTGGGACTCGGTTGTCTCCGGAGGTGACGGGTGCGGAGGTGAGCGGTGGGGAGCAAGCGGCGAGGGCGAAAACCCGGAGGCAGCGCCGGCCCCTTCCCATCCTCTGGAGGGAGAGTGGCGTAGGTCCAGGTCCCACAGCCGCTTTGTTCGCGGCCTCTCCCCTCCTCTTTGGAGATGACTCGAACCCCCTCTGGAATCGGAGGGGCTCGCGGGGGCGCGGGCCGGGGGCCGGGGGAGCGGGCGGCGGCGACAGCTGTAAGTTCCTCCACTTCCTGCTAATCCGGGAAGGTACCAAAGGAGATCAAAAGACTCCTGTAACCTGAAACTTCCCTCTCATCCAAACCTGGACCGGGAGAGGTCCGGGCGGGGGCGGAGACCCCGGAAGGCAGGTCGCCAGCGGAGGCGGTGGGGGAAAGGAGCTGCGAGAGTGAGAAGTTTGGTCGGGAAGGCGCGGGGGATTAAGCGAGAAGTTAGACTCGGGGTACGAATCTGATCGGGAAAGGAGGAGGGCGGGAGGCTGGAAGGGTATATATAGTGTGGGCCTGGCAGAAGGCAGACTTTATGCTGGGTGTCTCGGGCCGCGCGCCCCTCTCCCGGGTAAGGATGTGCGTGGGACTGGGGGAGGCGAAACCTGGACGGACTTTTGGAGGGAGGTCTTGGGAACCAAGTGGGGACGACTTGGCTTGGAGAGTCCGGCTCCCGCACTCGGGGAGCTGCGGCCGCCGCCGTTCCTCACGCTTCTCTCCCGCCTGTCCCAGGTCCCGGAGCGGATCAAGCGCGAGGCGCCAACAAAAGAGGCAAGGAGGTGCCACCCGGGGGCCGCGGCAGGAAGAGGAGCGGGAGGAGGAGCGCGGAGCTGAGTCCCGACCCGGCGTGCGTACTTTCTGGAGGGAAGGGGCGGGGGAATCAACCCCGGGAGGGGAACGCCCGGTGGCGAGGGGTTTAGCCAAGTTCCGGCTGCGGCGGCCCTCCTCCGCTCCCACGAGAGGAAAGTTTTCTCCAGACGCTTCCGGCCGACCCGCGCCCTCCGGACCCAGTTCCCGAGCCTTCGGAGCGGGCGCCGTCCCAGCCCAGCTCCGGGGAAAGCCGCGCGCGATGCCTGGGGGGTGCTCCCGGGGCCCCGCCGCCGGGGACGGGCGGCTGCGGCTGGCGCGGCTGGCGCGGCTGGCGCTGGTCCTCCTGGGCTGGGTCTCCTCGTCCTCTCTCACCTCCTCGGCGCCCTCCACCTCCTCCGCGTCGTTCCTGGCCTCCGCGGTGTCCGCCCAGCCCCCGTTGCCGGGCCAGTGCCCCCAGCCCTGCGAGTGCTCCGAGGCTGCGCGCACTGTCAAATGCGTTAACCGCAACCTGACCGAGGTGCCCGCGGACCTGCCCTCCTACGTGCGCAACCTCTTCCTTACCGGCAATCAGCTGGCCGTGCTCCCCGCCGGCGCCTTCGCCCGCCGGCCGCCGCTGGCCGAGCTGGCCGCCCTCAACCTCAGCGGCAGCAGCCTGGAGGAGGTGTGCGCTGGCGCCTTCGAGCATCTGCCCAGCCTGCGCCAGCTCGACCTCAGCCACAACCCGCTGGTCAATCTCAGCGCCTTCGCCTTCTCCGGTAGCAACGCCAGCTTCTCGGCCCCCAGCCCCCTGGTGGAACTGATGCTGAACCACATCGTGCCCCCTGACGACGAGCGGCAGAACCGGAGCTTCGAGGGTATGGTGGCGGCTGCCCTACGAGCCGGCCAAGCGCTTCGCGGGCTCCGGCGCCTAGAACTGGCCAGCAACCACTTCCTGTACTTGCCTCGGGACGTACTAACCCAACTACCCGGCCTCAGGCACCTGGATCTGCGCAACAACTCTCTGGTGAGCCTAACCTACGTGTCCTTCCGCAACCTGACACACCTAGAAAGCCTCCACCTGGAGGACAATGCCCTCAAGGTCCTTCACAATGGCACCCTGGCAGAGTTGCAAAGCCTGCCCCACGTCAGGGTCTTCCTGGACAACAATCCCTGGGTCTGCGACTGTCACATGGCAGACATGGTGGCCTGGCTCAAGGAGACAGAGGTAGTGCAGGGCAAAGCCAAGCTCACCTGTGCATTCCCGGAAAAAATGAGGAATCGGGCCCTCTTGGAACTCAACAGCTCCCACCTGGAATGTGACCCTATCCTCCCTCCATCCCTGCAGACTTCTTACGTCTTCCTAGGTATTGTTTTAGCCCTGATAGGCGCCATTTTCCTACTGGTTTTGTATTTGAACCGCAAGGGGATAAAAAAGTGGATGCATAACATCAGAGATGCCTGCAGGGATCACATGGAAGGGTATCACTACAGATATGAAATCAACGCGGACCCCAGGTTAACCAACCTCAGTTCTAATTCGGATGTCTGAGAAACATTCGAGGACAGAACAAGGACAGCTGTGCATGAGATGTAGACTTAAGCTTTATTCTGTCCTAGGCTTGCTCCACTTCCACCCTCCACTATGGACACCACTGACCTTGACCGAAAGCAGTGAAGTGAATTTGCTCCCTTGTTATGTGAAGTTTCTTGGTGTGTCTTGTTAATGTAAGACGATGAAAAACTGTGCATAGTGTTTTATCCTTTTCTTGGAACTCAACTCGTATGGAGAGATTTTTCAAGTTTCAGCATGAACTCCGTGGACTCCTGGCTGTTTCTCTTAGTACAAATTCGAGGTGTAGCCAGTGTGCCCACACAGATAGCATTCAACAGAAGCTGCCTCAACTTTTTTGAAAAAAATACTTTATTCATAAATATCGGTTTTATTCTCATGTACTTAAATTGTGGAGAAAATAAATGCATTCCATAAACTGCCTGCAGATCTTAGCAAGCTCTTCAAAGTAACTCCATAGTACACAGGAGCACCTGCATCCGAGAGCATGCTTACATTTTACTGCCTACCTATTACAAAAAAATAACTTGCAACTTCAGATAACTTCTTTGACAAAGTAAATTACTTTTTTGGTTGCAGTTTATATGAAACTATACTGAAGTTTTTTTATAAACTGCATTGAGATCCAACAGACTGAATTGTTAAGAAAAATTTCAATAAAGATTCTTAAAAGAATTAACAGTTGTGTTCAAGTTTGCTATTTGAAAAAAATAATTGGGGCAATGATGTCTTGGTTCTGATGGTAATTGAGGTATTAGTTGTAGCTGAAAATGAAAGTGAAGTAATGTCTTAAATAGACTTTGGAAATAGTTTTGAGATGGTGGATCCTTTCAGGACTTAAATAGAGAATTTGAATATTCACGTAATAGACTTCTCAGGGTCCCAAAGTTAATGCTATTCATGAAACAATTTTGTAAGAGCATGGTAAAGTTGGTGAGAGGGGAGAGTTCTGTATGATAAACAGCTCACAGTTTGGAGCTTTTTTGAGGCTAAGTTGTTAGAATGGAATAAAATTATTTACTTCATTAAACTTTCTATATGACATTGTTTTATGGGTTTTTAGAGCAGAGTATGAATCAAATACAATGCAAATGTTTTAAAATGAAATGTCTTAAGGACACAATATCCTAAAATAAAAGATTTAAAAATGTAAATTAAAAGAACATTTCCTAAGATCATGATGTAAATTGGAACTTAGATTTTCTTGAGAATATTTAAAAAAAAATTTTTAAATGGAACATACGTGGTCAGTAGTTTATCAGAGATCCTACTTGTATGTTTAAAAAACTATTATGACAGGATATGAATTTGAGGAAATAACCAGAGATAAATGTCTACATCCATAAACAAGTATCTCAGTGAATCATAGGTTGTGTTCAGTTCATATTTAAGAATTGGGGAATATTTCAATTTTATCTAGGCTCTATATTAGTATATACACCTGTGTGAAGAATAAATCACATGTAGGTGTAAATAACAGCAATTGCTTAATCAATTGATAACTATCGATAATGGACAAGATTTTTTTTTCAGTTTATTTGCCAATGAAGCCTAAAAGTAAATTCCATTACTCTCCAAGCTATTATATAAAGTGACATTAGCCATTATTGCTTAACATACAGTGTAGGTAAACTTGCATCAATAAGTCTTAGGGCCTTCTTTCTCTTTAAATTGATTATGTTCTACAGTGTTTTATATTTGAAATAAAATTTACATTGCCGTATTTTTATAAATGAAATAGGACTGCAGTCCTTTAGGTTCTAGAGATCTTTACCTATTCCTTCTTTGAGTTAAATTGAGAAGTTTTCAAAATAGGGCTAAAAATTTATGAATCTGTTCCTTCTTTAGACTCTGTAGTCATAATACGAAGTTTTAACTAGATTAAGTTGGAAAAATTATAGTATTTATTACTTATAGGAGATATTTCAGATCCTATAATTAATTACCCAAGGAAAGGTTAAATATATGGTACTTAATATTCCATTAAACATTTTAAGTGTTCACCAGGAATTCATAAACTGGCTGGCTGCCATTATTTCCTAGGAATGATGAAGGTATTAGCCTGCCAAAAATAGTGAAAACATCTAATAAATAAGGGCACATATACCATCTCAGAAATGAACTGCTAGACTTTGACTGGTAAGTCTGCTGATTCTGTGGAAAACAAATTGTAATACTTATAGTCTATTTAGAAGAAGTATTTCTTCTTCATCCCATGATAATCTTAACAGTTAAAAACCGAGCTCTAGCTAAGATCCAGGAGAGCAGTAGATTTCATTAGTCTAGTTTTTCTCATTCACTCACTGAAGCAGGATCCGGAATAAAGTGAAGGTGTTTTTGCCTGTTAGGTGGATGGCTTTTTTGAAGTAACGATTTCTTGCTTTATCATCCCCTTGCTTCTTCCTCTGTATGAACTTCCCAACTTGGTACTGCTCTCTTTTCTGTCACATTACTCCTTGCTATTCTCCAATACATGGCAATAGAACATTCTTCG